GCTTTTTAGAATATTTCATCTAGCATTTTACATTGTTTTCAGTGTGTTTCCATTGAATCGGTGTAGCCCCCATGCCTGCTGCATTTCTAGGAGTAGACTGCAAACCAATTTGTAGGAACGTTGGTGGTTCTGTCTCTCACATCTCTTCTGATCCATTCTCCTCCCCCGTCTTCTTTTTCTTTTGATGAGATTGACTTGTTGGAGACCCCGGGTCAAGACCTGCAGTATTTCCCACACCCCAGATTCGGCTGACTGCCTTGCTTGTTCCTGTATCGCCTGTTGTTAGGAAGTGGATTTAACTTTATAGGCTTGATTCAATTCGGCTTCCATGTGTGGGGTTTTGTTTTGTTTTGTTTTGTAAGGATAATTTATAGGTAGTCAAAAATAATTCCTTCTCTATCAGATGGCACTTAGTGTCTGGGTATCCTACTTTAGTGACGCCAAGATTGATCAGTGGTTTCACATGGTAACAAATTAATCCATTCACTGTAAAATCCATCATCCTTTCATCTCAGGGTTTCATCAAGTGACACTTTCTCCCCTCGGTGAAATATTTCTCCTGGAGTTGCAAAATTAGGATTTTTCTAATTCTGCCATCATTCCACATTCATCAGCTAAAATTCATACAACTGGAGCTATTTCATTACTCTAAAATACAGTTTAAACAAGCAGGCTAAATTCTCCTTTCAGGTTCAGTAATATGTTTTGCATCCGTTTTTAAAAAATAATTGTCTCAACTTTGTTGGCGCTGCTATCCCAAAATACCACAGATGGTGATTCACAAAGAACAGAATATTTTTTCCCTCACACTTCTGGAGGCTGGGAAGCGCAAGCTGTGAAATCGGAGATCCAGGTCGCAGCAGGCTGTCTGGTGAAGGTTGCTGTCTGATTCCCAGATGATGTCTTGTTGCCACATCCTCTGGAGGGGAGGAACACTGTGTCCTTATGTAGTGAAAGGCAAACAAGCTGAATGCTTGGTGAAACCTGTTGTAGAAGGTCTTTAATCCCATTCACAGGGGAGGAGCCCTTATGACCTAATCAGCTCTTAAAAGCTCTACCTCAGAACACCTACACACTGGCCATTAGTTTCGCCACCAGGATTTTGGAGGGAATACGTTCAAACCAAATCAATAGCCCTGAGTCACACAGGCCTTTTCCTGCCCTGGAAATGCCAAAGCTGCTGTCTGTAATGGAATAATGTGATTGGTAATTGTGTCACGTAGAACCAATAGAGATCAGCAGCCTCAGCCAGACCAGCAGAGATCCTGGCATCAGATGCCGCTCCATGTCCTTTTGACTTCAGACATCCCAGTTCCCTGACTTTCAGCCTCCTTGTAAAATACAACAGTAAGATATTGGTGCTTATGGGTCTGAGTTAAAGCTGGTCTGTACATTTCCTTCTTTTCTGTTCATGTTGCCACTATCCTACCTCAAGCCTTTTTGCCCCTAGAGTTTGTTTCCCAATTTTCTTTGTTTTCTATTCTGATGAAGTAGCCTCAGCCCCCTTTGGTAGCACCTCACTGCTGGCAAGAGTAGGTCCACGGGTCTAGCTTTGCTTGCGCACTACCGCGCAGCCTGGCTGCGGGGCCACCTCCTTTCCCACCTTCCTCCTCTGCCGGCCAGAGCAGCGTGCTCATGGCACCTCTGCATTCAGCCTTCCATACCGCAGGGCTGAGCCAGCCATCCGTTCCTCCCCTGGTCCCAGGATCCCGCCGTCATCTCCAGTCTAAACTCGCTCGTGCTCTGCCACTCCTTGATCTCTGTGGTCCTGACTGCTCCCAGAGCACACATTGTCTGTGCCATGTCAGGTGGGCCTCACGCCCCTTTCTGTGCCCTGATTTCATTTGCCTCAGCTGCAAACTCCATGCTAACCAAGGGCAGGGACGCACTTTGGACGTCTCCAGATTCTGTCCAGTGCTGGGCCCAGAACCTGGCGTCTGGTCTGTGCACCTTCCCTCACCTCCTCACTCGGGCTCCCGTGTTCGTCCTCACAGTCCTTGGACACACCTGATTCTTCTTCACTTTGGACTCTGATCCTGGTCTTTATTTTTGATAGTCCTGTCAGAAAGATGACTGTCTTTCTGTCCTGTCAAGAAGACTACTACCTCGAGGCCCTTTTGTCTCCTCATCACTGCTCTACATGATGAAGTAGATGGAAGGCCACACCCTTGGTGTAGAACATCTCCCAGCAGAAGTGAGCTTGACCAGCTGTCCTTGGCGTTGTCCTCCAGCAAGTGATCATGATTTTTATTCTGTGTGTCAGCCTGGGAGGCCTCCAGAAACAAACCAGGCCCTCAGTCGGCAACCCAACAGAGCTGTGAGACTGCCCTGTACATATTTATTTGGAAGTCTCCCATGTACAGATCTTCCCCATGCTTTCCTTAAGAAGCTTTACTTCATGTTGAAACATCTGAGCGACTGGGGCAGGCACCTGTCAGGGCATGATGGCGTGCCACCTTCTCTGCCATCGTCGAACTGAGGATTTTTTTTCCTTCTGCAACTGGCATGACAGACATCCACTTAGTGGGGTGATTATTAGTGTGAAATTACTTTTTGGCCTTTAAATTTAATTATGCCACATTCATGGCAATAATATAATATCTCAAATCCAGGTGTGCTTTTCAAGGGAAGTGTCCAGGGCAATTACCCTCTGATAATGGTGTCCTGCACTTAAGTCTTTTGTCTGGGGATGTTAAAGTCATTTCTACACAAATAGATAATGGTGTTCATTTTGCAAGGGGCGAGAGGTGAAGTGATTGAGCCCTTGGCAGACTTGAGATGAAGACAAGTCCAGGCCCCAGGTGCCTCCTCTGTTCTTCCCCCTCCAGCTCCCTTTCCAGCTTTTTCAGAGAGGCTTGGCCAAACTTCTACTGGTTTAATACTTCCCTTCCAGGCACTGGTCTCTACTTTTTTAAGAGCATAAATGAAAACAAAATGTTTCTATATCACATTTCGGCGGGGGGAAGAGTTAAGATTCAGGGAGAGGGAATGGTGTGCAGACACAGTGCACACTTGTCTGAGGACATACCTGTCTGCCTCATCACTGTTACATAAAAGAGCTGGGACGTGGGTTCTGCAGGCTCAAAGATGAGAAGCAGTTGGAACAGTGCCTGGCTCATGGCAAGCCCTGCCGAAGTGATGGATTCCAGGATCCTCTCACTGGTATCTGTGGGCAGGCCCCTCTGTCCCTGGGGAAGCAGCATTTAGAGCGCGCCGTTGCTCAGGCCCGCTGACAGTTTGGATGCTCCCTTCTCCTACCCAGCCAAGCCTTCCCCAGTCCAGCTGTCAGTCACCTACGACAACCTGTCTCATTTTCTCAGTTCAGTTCAACACACTTGAACTGACCTTCTAACTTATACTAAGTTATGTCTTATTTGGGCACTAAATCATGCCCCATTGTATAATACTGTTTTAACTCCTGTAGGAATGTTTGTGTCTAATGGGATGATCCAGACTTAAGGAAAAAGCTCTCTTCTTTTTCTTTTTCTTTTTTATTTGAGACCGGGTCTTACTCTGTCACTCAGGGTGGAGTGCAGTGGTGTGAAACTGCAGCCTAACCTCCCACCTCAGTGCCCTAGGTAGCTGGGACCGTAGGCATGCGTCACTACGCCTGGCTAATTTTTGTGTTTTTTGTAGAGACAGGGTTTTGCCGTGTTTCCCAGGCTGATCTCAAACTCCTGAGCTCAAGCAGGCCGCCTGCCTCATCCTCCAAAGTTCTTGGACTGCAGGTGTGAGCTGTTAACACCTGGCCTGAAGCGCTCATTTAAACTGTGGTTTTGTGTGTGTTGTGCGTGGGTGTGTGTGTGGGTATATATATATGTGGGGGGGGGTATGTATGTATATGTGTGGGGGTATATATGTATATGTATGTGTGTGTATGTGTGTGTGTATATATATATATGGGAGGATATGTATGTATGTGGGGGAGTATGTATGTATATGTGTGGGGGTATATATGTATGTGTGTGTGTGTGTGTGTGTGTGTATATATGGGAGGATATATATGTATGTGTGTGTGTGTGTGTGTATGTGTGTGTATATATATATGGGAGGATATATATGTATGTGTGTGTGTGTGTGTGTGTGTGTGTGTATGTGTGTGTATATATATATGGGAGGATATATATGTATGTGTGTATGTGTGTATAGGCATTTCCCCCAGAGACAATTCTGCGTATGCAGCAGGAGCTCAGTATTCTCTAAGAGGAAAGGGTAGAAAGCATTGAGGCCAGAAGAGGCGAAACTGCACATACTTGGTTAAATCCAGTATGGTGAATTCTTGTTGCACTAAAGTAATGAAGCTCAGTCACAGAGTCTGAAAGCCCAGAGCCAGGGTGTGCACGTCCTCTTTCTTTCGGTCCACCATAGCACCATATTCTGTCCTGCTGTAGATGAAAGGAGTCCAGTATGGACTGAGCCCCTCCTACATGTCAGATGTCATAGAGAACACAGATGGGTGCCTGAATAAAAAGCATTGTGATCCAGTAGATGATCAATAAATACACAAGTGCTTATAAGAAAGGTGTACATGATGAACTCTGCAGCTGAGATTCGGTCAAAGGGCTTTGCAGTTGAAAGGGGGATCATGAAAACTTTATTTATTCCGCAGTTACATATTGAGAGGCAGTCGTGTGCTCCAGGGCCGTCCTAGCGCGAACGCTTCATGAAGAGCTTGGAGGATAAGTTAGCACTGTTCTCCCCGCCGCTCTCCTCCCAAGTATCAACGCAGAGCTCCAAACTTTTGTTTCTCTTCTGCAGTGTTTATGAGAGAGACCTTCTATTCCTATCATTTTTTTCCCCTAACACAGAAAGCATTCTGAGGAGCTGAAGACGGGTCGTTCCCCTCAGTACTGCATTCTCCTGGATTGTGAAGCTAATTCCCTTTCAGTAGCTCAGTAACATTCACAGCTGGTGTTTGCTCCCACCCCGTAGTCTCCTGAGGAAATGCGGACTGCAGAGGTGAGAGCCGCTGACACTGTTTGCCCTTTGGTTTCTTCCAGGATTTTTTTCCCAGGCAGCCATCCCGTCAGAGGCGTTCAAGTAATGAAAGTTGGCAAACTGCAGTTACATCAAGGCATGTTTCCCCAAGCGATGAAGAACCTGAGACTGGTGAGTGTGCCAAGATCACGGGTAGTTCTGCCTGGTATCCTTTTTTTCCTGGCGGTTGCTGGGCCCCTTTGTTATTTTTTAGCAACTCTACATAGGTGTGCACGCATACACACATATGCCCAATGAGTGCTCGTAAATGTTTAACAACCACGCTCAAAGAAACCCTGCTTCGTGACGTTTGCCTATTTCTGTGATGCACACGTGCCCGCCGTGACTGATTTTCACTGTAAAATCAACCTTCTTGTGAAATTAATAGTAACAATCCCTCTTGTAACCTGGTGCAAAACCAGCCTCAGAGCACCACTGCCCCTGCGCCCGCTCCGCATGGAACACGCTGGCCTAGTGTGTGCCTCCGTCCCATTGCCCACGGAGCACAGCCCGTATTCCCGGCATGGCAGGCACCTGACCATCTGCAGCCTCTTCTCCCATCCCTTCCTCTCTCCCTCCCCAGCCCCGGGGATCAGTGCTGCTCACCAGTACGCACTGTGACCCTGAACTTCTCCTTCCTCAGCCTTCACAGGGCTCTTTCCTCTGCCTTCCATGCTCGCCCCACCACAAGCCCCCGGGCTTGGCAGAACTGCACTGAACCTTCAAGGCCCAACTCCAGTGTTGTTTTCTCCTCCCACCCCTACAGCTCATTGCCCACCCTGCCAGCAGAGCACGTGGCACATTGCAGTAGGCATGCCTGATGACCACCCCACCCCTGCCTCAGCAGGGGGTGAGGTCTTCCTGGTTCTCTTTGTAACCAGCTCAGCGCCCTGCAAGGGATCTGCAACTTAGGAAGTATTCATATCGTGGGAAGGCGGAGGGAGGAAGGGAAGGTCTGGCAGTAAGTGTCGAGAAACTAAACGGGAGGAGAGTGGTTTAGGGATGGAACGCCTTGTTGAACATGACGCTTAGTTCCATGCTCTTAGGGAGTCTCTGCCCAGAGGAACCCAGGGCTGTCTGGCCTTCCCACCTCAGCAGAGCTTCCCCTCACCTAGTCCGTGGCCCTTCCAAAGGAGAGCTCACATGCTCACCTGGCGGGTCATACGGAGACCTGGCGTGTGGGGTTTCGCAGGAAGCACTTGACACTTTGACAGTCTCCTCTGGGCCACGGTGTTCTGTGTGCGGGAGGGTCACAGTGGAAGAATGGGCCTGCTTCAGGGTTGCTCAGCGCACGTCCAGGGGCTGCTGATCCCATGACATTGACAGCCACCCACATGAACCTAAGAGAAATGGCAAATGCCTAAGGGATTCTCAAAAATAAGAGTCCCTAGAGCTCATTTTCGCTGCATGCTAACCATACTGCCTTTACTTGATCCCTAAAAGTCAGCGTATGGCGAATAAGAGTAACATTAGGAGTTCCTGAAGGCACTCAGCTCTTCCTCTTCTTTTTATTGTGTCTGACATGTTTACCCAGACTTATGGAAGAACACCTCCGTCTCTTGCAGTCTCAGGAAGAACGTTCCTTTTCTGATCTTGCTGCTGCTTGTCAGCCAGTCAAATCAGCTAGGTACAGAAAATGCTTATTAGGGGTCTATGTGTGGAAGTCTTGACAGACAAATGATGTAGAGGAAATTTCTTAATGTACGATACACCCAGCACAGGGCTACCTGCAAGGAGATGTCCATGAGTGGTCAGACTCGACCTTGTGTTTACATGGGACTAGAAACTCTGAGTACTGCTCATGCGTACGCGATCATATTTAGTCCTCATGACAGATGACGGCGGTATGAGGTCAGTGGGGGTGGTGTTTTCGTTCCTATTTGGAAAATGAAGGCGCTCAGGTTTGGAGACATGGAAGAACTCACCTGAAGTCATACAGAGGCAGAGCCAGGTGTGTTTGTTCAATTCAGTTCAACACAGTGATTAATTGCTTCTGTTATTTTGAATAAGTCTCAGGCTGGGCACATTGGCTCATGCCTATAATCCCAGCACTTTGGGAGGCCAAGGCAGGTGGACCACCTGAGGTCAGGAGTTCAAGACTGGTCTGGCCAACATGGTGAAACCCCATCTCTACAAAAATTCAAAAATTAGCCAAGCATGATAACAGGTGCCTGAAATCCCAGCTACTCAGGAGGCTGAGGCAGGAGACTCACTTGAACCCAGGAGGCAGAGGTTACGGTGAACCGAGATTGCACCATTGCACTCCAGAAAAAAAAAAAAAAAGATTCAGTATGGTCCGTACAATTTAATGGAGGAGAGAGACATGTGAATAAGTCATTAAATCCAGGCTGGAGTCCAAGGCTCTGTTTTCCTCTAGACTGGTCCGGTTAAGTAGGTGAGGCTCTCCAGCAGATCTGTGTGTAGAAATCCCTTACGATGATCTACCCAGACCCCTGATGCCCACTCGGGGGAAAATCTGGGGGAGAGATTTCGATTGCTGCTTTTCTTTATGTGAAGCTTTAGTCATTGCCACTACCTGCAGAAATCCTGAAGGAGACATCTAATATCCTCAGCTGTAAGGACAAGCCCCAACAAACCCAGACAGACACCACCTCTCTCTGGGTTTTCAGGATAATGTGTCCCGGGCTGATGGTACTGACCATCACCAGCCCTTCTGATGACCCTCTTACTGCCCTTTTACATCCCTCATGCCCTTCTTACGCAGTTGCATCACCTGTCTCAGAAGCTTCACTGGGTAATCATGTTAGCATTTCCTGTTCTTGGTACCAAGGTGAAGCTCAAGCATGGACCTTGATAGATGCCAAATGAAAGGTATTCTGGGAACCACATCAGATTATCTGTCATGAGGCCTGGGGTTAAATCGTGGTCTTACCCAAACTTCCTGTTTATCTCTGCATACGTCATTGAGTCCCTTGCCAATGTCTGATTATCAACCAAGGAGCAAACATGTACTCCGGGCAGAGGCACAGAAAGAGCACTGGGGTTCAGCATCAGTACGTTCAGGTTCCAGTCCCACCGTTTACTAGTTTTTGTTTGTTTGTTTTGTGTGTGTGTGTGTGTGCGCACGTTTTGAGACAGAGTCTTGCTCTGTCACCAGGCTAGAGTACAGTGGCACAATCTCGGTTCACTGCAACGTCTGCCTCCTGGGTTCAAGCAATTCTCCTGCCTCAGCCTCCTGAGTATCTGGGACTGCAGGTGTGCACCACCACACCCAGCTAATTTTTGTATTTTTAATAGAGACGGAGTTTCACCATGTTGGCCAGGGTGGTCTTGATCTCCTGACCTCTCTCTGAGTATAATTTTATTTGTAAAAGGAAGCTGATCTCTATCCCACAGAGTTGTTTTGAGGAGAAAATGAGGCAGTGTGTGAGTGTGCTTGCTCATCACAGGCATTTTGAAGCTATGAAAGATTGTTGTATAGGAGCCCTTGTCCTGAGCGCCCTCCCTCCAGCTGGCCTGTTGAGCACCTGTGTTTGTAGTGTGGGATCACACGGTGGTCCCTCTGTTGAACAATTACGTTACATGACTGCTCCCAGCAGTGCTTTGCTTCCCCAAGGTGAGTGGGAATTCCTCAAGGGACCTGACATTCCTTTTATATTTTCTGGTGCCGCCTGACATAGACACCCGTGCCTCCCACACAGCAAGTTCTGTTAAATACATTCTTGAATGGGTGGATTTGTTTTACTGGATACTCTAAAAGCCTCACCCTGGCCCTGTTGTTTAGCTGTTTACGGTTAAGGAACCAGATCTTCTCATAACCTTTGCTGAGTATTTGCTAGCAGAGGGACGGCCGGAATGTATCCATCCCTAGGAAAACTCACGTGACCTGCGAGTCTATAAGCAGGTCAGTTTCTTCTGCAGAAAGTCTTTGTTTCCTGAGCTTTCTCAGGACTCGGGTAACCTGGAGAGGGAAAATGGAGGCTACACTCTTTGCCATGTAAAACTGATTTTCTCTTCAGACAGGCACCCCAGGATGCTCTTTTTCGTCTGAGAAACCCTGAAAATAATGGAATGAAATCACTTGAATAAGGTTTTTGAAGACTGAGTTTGAATAGAAATCAGAGGAGCTTCAGAAACAGACATTTGTTAAGATTCATTTAGGCTCCAGCCGCCTCCGGGAAGGGAATCCACTTAGCCCAGCTCTGATTGGGTTTAGTCTCCCGCTTCTAAGGGGCTCAGCGGAAGTTCTTGTGATTGCTGCCACAGGACAGTCCTGGGTCCCTTCACAGCCTCCTCCTGCTTTCTCCTGTCTCTAATCTACTTTTATTTCTTTCCATTTATTCCTTAGAAGGATTTTGTTTGCTACAATTGGACTTCTTGGACCTCAGTGACAACCCATCTGGGCTGTCTTGTCAGTGAGAGCTGGTTTTTCCTGTGAACTCTCCATGCTGCCTGCTCCCTCACCCCGGCCCTGCTGTAGCTGCTTTGTTAGCAAAAGGCTGGTTGTAAAACTTAGACTTCTTTCCCTTTGGGATCCATTTTTTTAAGAATCTGTATGTAAACGTTTTGTATAATTTTTCCCTTCTCATTTAATTTTATTGAAGTATTTTATATCTTGAGCATCTTTGTAGTTTTTCTGCATCTAAACAGAGTGCAGGGCCGCAAGCCCTAGACACTGCTCCTTGTGCTGCTGCCTCAGCGACGGCTGATGTACAGCAAGCACTTCTGTTGTTCCCATTTCTTAATCTGCTGCAGTGATTCTTAACCTCTTTCGTGGTGTCCTTATTTAGGAATCTGATAAGGGCCACTGACTAACCAGCGAAATGCTACATACACATACATAGCAACTCCTTGAAGCCTTTCCATGGACCAAATCTCCATGATATGTAGGTTAAAAAGCCCTTCTCTAAACAGTTAATATCCTGCTTTACCATATGGGGAGGTGGGAGGGGGGGAAAAGGGAGAAGGCGACGGCATGCAGAGATGATGTTCCCCAACTGCCGCTAACACCTTCACAGAGCTGTTTGGAAGCCCCTGGCTCTAATACTTACAAATGGTTCCTGCCGACTTCCAGATAGAGAATAACAGTTCCAAGGGCATGTTTTTGAACCAAAAGGAAAAGATAAGAAAGAAAACAATGCATAAAATGCAAACATCGTGATTAAGCCATG